GGTATAACACTCAAGTCAAAAGAAAGAAAAGCTCAGAGCTGTGTGAAATAAAAGGAAACGCGTCTTTATGGGCGCACGCAAATAAAATGCATTAGGTCAGGTTGCCCATCTGTTATTATTAACATTTGATTCTTCGAAACCTTTGAAAGTGAGACATCAAGAGGAGTTCAGAACCAGAATCAGAAGGTTCTTATTAATGTGCGAGAAATCACAACATTAGGAAATTGCTGTGGTACTTGGTGCATAAAAGAAGAATAAAAATAACAGACAAGCAAGTACAGGAAGTAAGAATATAATCATGATAAAATAATATAAGGTGGTAATACTTAGAGAAGTTGCTACCATAAACAAGACAGTGTAGGTACTGATCAGAGCGGATCAGTTAAGGTACACATGCAGCACAGGGTCATGTTTCTGAAACCAAGCGACTGAGTGGGCAGCCCTAGGATTGTCGTTCATGAGACCAACAGCAGAGGGGAAGAAACTGTTCTTGTGGTGAGAGGTTCTGGTCCGAATGGATCAAAACCTCCTGCCGGATGGGAGCAAGTCAAAGAGACTGTGTCCAGGGTGACACGTGTCAGCTGTTATGTGACCTGCACTCCTCAATGTCCTAGAGGTGTACAGGTCTTGTATAGAGGGGAGTTTGCAGCCAATGACTTTCTCAGCAGAGCGCACAACACTCTGCAGCCTCTTCCAATCCATGATGGTGGCTCCAGCATACCACACCGTGATTGAAGAGGTGAGGATGGACTTATCGACTGTGCTGGCTTGTTGAATTTCTTCAGCTGCCTCAGGAAGTACATCCTCTGCTTGGCCTTTTTATGTGACAGGGGTGATGGTGGGCTCCCACTTGAGGTTTTGGGTGATGGTGGTGCCCATGGACGTAATTTTCACTTTAGAAGTGGGGGGGGGGGTATCTTTACAGTATGCTCTAATGGGAAACAGGCTTCACAACAAACGGTTGTTTTCCGCTTGGTCCTAGAGCTCAACCAGTGTCAATTTAATATAGCGTAATGTTGTTTTTGGATGGTAAAAAGTGCAGGGGTCAAAACATGACTTTGGAAAAAGTGCCCCCCCCCCCCCCAAAAAAAAAAATTACGTCCATGGTGGTGCCAGCTGAGGTGGCTCGGGCATCTAGCCTGGCCTGCCAGACTCGCCCTCTGTTTAATTCTGCACACAGAAAGAGTCTGGTAAGTCAGGCAGAAAGGACATGAGGGGTGGGACTAGGCAGCTCAAAAATAACCATTTGAAAAAAGGAAGGAAATGCTGACTGTACCGCACGGCGCTGTAATTTTTTTAGCTGTAGTAAAAAAAAAAATGGCGCAAACATCGTTTTTTCAGAAGAAAGGCTTTTAGCGCCTCAACTTGTTGTGGTTTTAAAGACATTCAAGTCATTTAGAACAGAGGAAAGAGCCGCAACGAACTCCGCCATTGTCTTTGTTGTTTCTGAGAAACTGAGCGTCGCTGTGTGTGAGACTTCCGCGACGCTGTAGTTTTTTAGCTGTAGTCAAAAATGGCGTCTGACGACAGTGCAAACATCTTTCTTTAGAAGAAATGCTTTTAGTACCTTTACTTGTTATTTTAAAGACGTGTCCAAGTAATTTAGAGCAAAGGAAAAAGCTGCAGCGAACTCCGCTTCAGTCGCCATGTTTGACAAACTTGGCGTTATGGTGTGTAATGCACACTACTCAGCGCTGATTGGCTTGGTTAGAATTCTCAGGGGGTGGGGTTATTTGAATAGGAGAGTTCCCAGACCCTTTCTCTGTGCAGAATGAAACAGTAAGAGTCTGGCAGGCCAGGCTATCAGGCGTCTGGTTAGGATGCATCCTGGACACCTCCCTGATGAGGTTTTCCGAGGACGTCCAACATGGAATAGACCTAAAGGAAGACCCAGGACACACTGGAGGGACTATGTTTCTCGGCAGGCCAGGGAACGCCTTGGGATTTTCCCGGAGGAGCTGGCCCAAGTGGCTGGGAACAAGGAAGTCTGGGCCTCTCTGCATAGGCTGCTGCCCCGTGACCCGACCCCAGATAAGCGGACGATAATAGATGGATGAGGCAACCATTTGGCTTCAAATGTTGTTGCATTCATTTCGGAGCCAGCCAACGTTACGGGATGGAATGCAGTGGGCCAAAAAAGTATTTAGTCAGCCACCGATTGTGCAAGTTCTCCCACTTAAAATTATGACAGAGGTCAGTAATTTACATCATAGGTACACTTCAACTATGAGAGACAGAATGTGAAAAAAATCCAATGAATTCACATGGCAGGATTTTTAAAGAATTTATTTGTAAATCAGGGTGGAAAATAAGTATTTGGTCACTTCAAACAAGGAAAATCTCTGGCTCTCACAGACCTGTAACGTCTTCTTTAAGAAGCTTTTCTGTCCTCCACTTGTTATCTGTTTGAACTCATTATCTGTATAAAAGACACCTGTCCACAGCCTCAAACAGTCAGACTCCAAACTCCACTATGGCAAAGACCAAAGAGCTTTCGAAGGACACCAGGAAAAGAATTGTAGACCTGCACCAGACTGGGAAGAGTGAATCTATAATAGGCAAGCAGCTTGGTGTGAAAAAATCAACTGTGGGAGCAATTATCAGAAAATGGAAGACATACAAGACCACTGATAATCTCCCTCGATCTGGGGCTCCACGTAAGATCTCATCCCGTGGGGTCAAAATGATCATGAGAACAGTGAGCAAGAATCCCAGAACCACATGGGGGGACCTGGTGAATGACCTGCAGAGAGCTGGGACCATAGTAACAAAGGTCACCATCAGTAACACACTACAACGGCAGGGAATCAAATCCTTCAGTGCCAGACGTGTTCCGCTGCTGAAGCCAGTGCATGTCCAGGCCCGTCTGAAGTTTGCCAGAGAGCACATGGATGATACAGCAGAGGATTGGGAGAATGTCATGTGGCCAGATGAAACCAAAGTAGAACTTTTGGGTATAAACTCAACTCGTCGTGTTTGGAGGAAGAAGAATACTGAGTTGCATCCCAAGAACACCATACCTACTGTGAAGCATGGGGGTGGGAACATCATGCTTTGGGGCTGTTTTTCTGCTAAGGGGACAGGACGACTGATCCGTGTTAAGGAAAGAATGAATGGGGCCATGTATCGTGAGATTCTGGGCCAAAACCTCCTTCCATCAGTGAAAGCTTTGAAGATGAAACGTGGCTGGGTCTTCCAACACGACAGTGATCCCAAACACACCGCACGGGCAACAAAGGAGTGGCTCCGTAAGAAGCATTTGAAAGTCCTGGAGTGGCCTAGCCAGTCTCCAGACCTCAACCCCATAGAAAATCTGTGGAGGGAGTTGAAAGTCCGTGTTGCTCGGCGACAGCCCCAAAACATCACTGCTCTCGAGATGATCTGCATGGAGGAATGGGCCAAAATACCAGCTACTGTGTGTGCAAACCTGGTAAAGACCTACAGTAATCATTTGACCTCTGTTATTGCCAACAAAGGTTATGTTACAAAGTATTGAGTTGAATTTTTGTTATTGACCAAATACTTATTTTCCACCCTGATTTACAAATAAATTCTTTAAAAATCCTGCCATGTGAATTCATGGATTTTTTTTCACATTCTGTCTCTCACAGTTGAAGTGTACCTATGATGAAAATTACTGACCTCTGTCGTCATTTTAAGTGGGAGAACTTGCACATTCGGTGGCTGACTAAATGCTTTTTTGCCCCACTGTATGTTACAAATGACATTTTTAATGTGTAAAGTTTAACACCTGTAAATAACACAAGACAGCCATTTGCGTTAAGAGTACACATCAAAGTGATGGTTTTGATGTGGCACGTTTTTCCTTTTTGGATTTTGTGATTCAGGGTTTACTTTGAAAATAAGTGGATGTTTGAGAATGTTAGAGCAAGCTAAATTCTGGGTTTTCCATCACTAAATCAATCCCTGATTTTACAAATGACAGTTTTAGTTCAAACAGCATTTTAGTTCATCACAAATCCAGTTTGTGTTACACATTACTGAGCCAAAACCTAGAAAGTTAAATCAGATGTTCACTGCTTCACACAAAACACATTTTCTTTTTGTCACAACTTTGCTTCATCTCATTCCACAACCCTACTAAAGTCCAAATTCCTTTTAGTTGGCAGGAAAAATGGTGACACGACCCGTTTAACTCTAAATCAAAGCACATTAGCACTCATCCTCTCTTCTCATGTCATTGCTCTTGTCTTTTCTTCATGAGAAACCACAATTAGCCCTTCATTAAGCTCTCTGAACTGGCATTAACACACTCAGATGACTTAATTTAAGCTACAAATCAAGCGACAGCATTTGAGAGTTTGACTCTGTGTCATGACTTCATCTGGCAGAGACTCGGTTAGGGCTGCAGTTGGAGAAAGAGTCAAAGACGAGACCTGAGATGTCCAGACTGAGTGTAGACAGGAAAGGGAGGAAGCAGCAGAAGGTGCTGATGGGGTGAGGCTGAGTTCATGTTTAGCACGTCTAGACACCGGAGCTCTAACAATAGAGGGCATTAGAAAAATAAATCCAGAAAGCATTTACACGTCTGTAGCATAGTGATTTTTCTTTGTGTTGTGTTTCTGCAGGTTGTACCCATGCATCTACTGTATGAGACTTAATAACATTGTCTACTGAATTATGTACATCATGATATAAATTAGATAGGATTTAGGGTGATAAATAATTTAATTTAATTAAAATTCCATAAAATATTTCTCAAAACAACGTAATAAAATATGAATAAAGTAGATGTTCTCCATGGGGGTGTAACACTGATGTTGCATCATAGCAGTAAAAAATAAAAAGAGTTGAATATCTGCTGGTTCAAAGTTTTAATGTTCAGGAGCCTAAAATACTCGCTAGCCGCCATATTTTATTTCTGTCATACTCAGGCTCAGAAAAAAGCCCATCAGCTAAATAAAAAATTGCAAATATTAACACACTTTTACTTCAGGAGGCTAACCAGTGTGAACAAGGCAGGATTGTGTGAGACTTACTGTCATTAGAGCCTTGGTTTTCGTCCCAGGTACGCACGTCGTCATCCTGCAGAAACATGAGAGGAAAACAACAACAATCTGCTAACTGCAGCTGCTGGAAATAAAAGCACACAGTGTTGCTGGAACTGCCGGTGTAACACATGAGCTTCATCACACCGGAGAAGGAACGGGTTGGAAATTATCACTTGCACAGTAAAAATGATGGCATGATACACGAGCAAAAACAAGAACAGACAGGTCCAATGTGTTCGGATCATTCTAATGAACACAGCTAATCAGCACTCTGTCTGTAAGTGAGACATATGGTGTTGGTGGTAAGGTGTCTTTTAAGTACGTCGCCCTTTTCCCCACTTAATTAGACCATTACTCGTAACAGGAGATGAATAGGGAGCCAGGAGATGCACAAAGACAGAAATGGGTCATAAATGAAGGAGACGGCATACAAAAGCAGATAGAGAGTCACACAGAAAGGAAGGAGAACTGACCTCAACCTCCTGATGAAAGGACAGCAGAAGGGGAGAAAAAAAGAGTTAATATTAGTGAATAAGGGAAAAAGGATTCAGATACAGAACTGTAATCTGGGACCTGTATTGCTTTTTCTTTGTTCCTTTAAACAATCATCAACAATGAATATTTCTGAGACTTTATTGAATTTGTTATTTAAAGGCGTTGTTCAGTCGTTTAATCAATACATTAGCAGTGGTCTCTAGTATGAACGAATGCCTTGTAAGTCATTTCCTGGTCCTGATATTTGAACATCTCTTCTTTGATTGGTTAACAGCAACACGACTCTACCCCTGACTCTGCTCTGCAACATTGATGTTTTTTGCTGCTGCATTTTGTCGGCTGGTGTTGAATAACAAGTGAGGTGCTGCAGCGCCGACTTGGCAACTCTGCGGGTTCACAGATTTTAAACAATGACTACGTGCCTCTTTGAACATATTGAATGGAGAAAAACTGATAATCCCCCAGCCGGCTGAGAAGAATATCTATTTAAATGGAACCTTAGACGTTAGACTGTAAAGCCTGGGGCGCACGGGAGGCGGACGCGCCGTGCAGTGTCACGCCCGCGGTTTTGAGAAATCAAGTGGTCACAAAGGATGCGCCGTGCCACTGAGCGCTTCTTGGAAAGTCACGCGATAGTCACAACATCACACGGGACTTGAGAACAGGAAGCGTATTGTTTGTAAGTGATCAGACTTGCCATTGTGTTTGTGAGACTAATTAATTAACAGTGGGTAAGTACGCTATTTATTAAAAATATTTTAAGATAAAAATTACTTTAAAGTGATAAAAACGGCGGCTGGATTTGTGCCGTAAAGCCAGTCTGTGTCGTAATGTCTGTGGTAAAGTCCTCCACAATGTTGTAGACACGTGCGTTGCGCCTCCGGAGTGTCCAAGGCTTTAAGTGATTATTTCACTGTAAAATTCTATTATTTCACCTATAAAGAGAGGCTGGAGAAAGAAAAAAAACTGTTTCTCATTAAAAACAAAAAAGACACCAAATTTGACTGAAATGTGTGTTTAGAGTCACCTATTTCATATAAAATTCATAATTCTAGCTGAAATATAAAAGAACAGAGGTAAATGAAGCTTTAGAGTCTAAAACTTCAGCTTCTGCTAAAGGAAACCCCAGAGAAGATGGTGCATATGTAACACTTTTGGAGCATATTGTCTGTGTCTGATATAATAAACATGAATCATTTGGAGATATTTACAGTTTCGCCACCTCCCTCTCTTAGCGATGCCTTACTCATCACAGTAAACATTTACTGTAATGAAAGCGAGTGCCAAACAGCTCCCCAGAAGGTGATAAATCCTCAAACAACACTGGAAATAAGAAGCTCGTATGAAAGCGGGGATCTTTGACCCTCGTGGTTTTATTTCACAGAGGTTAATATTTTCATCACAGCCTCTGCCTAATCTGCAGCTCCTTCCAGGTCCTCGGTAGAAGAATTCACTTCCATCGCCGGTTGGGCTGCATGAATGATTGTCGGTTATGTAGTTCAACCTTGTTGAGCCTGATGGAGTCACACATTAGCCGGGGTGAGACCTGAAAGAGTTTACGACCTGGCCGTTAATCTGATGCCTCCCGTGTCTCCTTTATTGATGGAGCGGCTCCTGCATTATTTAGCAGCTTTTCTGTATTTGTGCTCCTGCCAGTGCAGATAAGGAAACCATCCTGCTGCGCTGACAAGACTGAAAATCAATGATTTTTATAAAAGAGGGGGCAGTGGAAAAATGTATTCAGGGAGAATAAATTCTCCTGAGTGAACACTGAAAGTAAGCATGAAACATGGAGCAAGGTGACAAGGCTGGCACACGGAGGAGAGGTTGCATCACTCGGATGTGTTCGCGGAGCAGATTTAAAACAGAAGTGATTAAAGGAAGTGGGCTGTGAGATGAAAACACTTCTGTTGCATTTCTAGAAGCTCTGTGATCAAACTGATATCAAAAGGATCTCCTGTTCTTTTTTTTTTAAACCAAGCAAGACAACTGCCACAAAGACGACAAACACAATGCTGACTGAAAGATCACAACTCCTCATATCTGCCAGGGAGGAAGCACTGAAAACTTTGACCCAACGTTGGAGCTCCAAAAGAAGATGAATGAAAGAAAAAGGAAAGTGAGAGCTCACTATAATAACAAGTCACGTGTGACTGACAGGTGTTCGTGGCTAAATGTCAGCTGCACCCTGTGTTCACAGCGATTACCCTGAAGGGTTTGTTCTCTGTGACTGCAGAGTGCATCGCTGCATCATCAGTAGCAGAGGACATGGTAATATCACTCGCCTGTGAGAGCTACATCAAGGTTCATGCTCAACCTTTTCTCGCAATTACTGTTGATGTTGTCCTTCAGAAGATTCATGAAACATAATCAAACAAATCAACCTGAGTCACGATACACAACACAGTGCATTGATGTTTATTCAGGGATTTACATTGGCTCAAATAAGCTAAAAACTCCCTTGGATCCACATTTTTAATGTTAGAAAGTGAGTTAAAAGCATAAAGAGGACAGATTCAAGTGTGAATTAACACCAAAAAAACGTAATATTTATTATAATGACTGTTTTATAATCTTAAGTGTTTTCATACACTTCAGCCCAGTTCACACAGAAGGATTTTTAAATTATCAGGAAATTTCCAAAGCACAAGAAGCCACACGTGGTGTTAAAATAATCAAGGATAAAACTGTTTTGGTCCTACAGTGTGTGGTGTGCAGCAACTCAGCAAAACACTACACACACAACAATTTTACTCAGTGACGCTCTCTGCTTAGATGGAATATGTAGTGAGACAAAACGTGACTTTGAAGTAAACAAACATGGCTGAGGAGGAGAATGCTGCATGCTCCTGTCATCTGTTAAAGGTTAGACATCCCATTCATCAGGCAACACGTTCATCTCCTGTACCCAAAAAGCAGACCACGACAATCAAGATAGGATTTCAAATCGGAGCAGTACTGATGTTCTTCCACGCATACCAAAAAAGCTCCTGTGCACCTGTTTCAGGATGCAGAAGTCAGCTGGAGGAGAAAGTAGAAGAAAACGGCAGGATTTGGAGTCTTATTTCCTGATATTTGGACATCTTGCTTCAGATTGGATAACCGCAACGCAACTCTACCACTGACTGAGTTCTGCTGTGTGGTGGAGTTGCTAATGCTAACAGTTAGTTTCTACAAGCAAAGACGTTCTCTGCTGTTTCCTGGACACTAAACCAACGACAGGCTTCCCTGTTGTGAGTCAAGATGGGTGAGTCCATGAATGCTAAGTGAGAGAGTGAGGTAGATCTGTCAGGACCAAGTGTTTTTCCATCAGTTTTCTATCAGAAGCTCATGCAAGAGGAAGGTGTAGGAGACTATTTTCATGTTCAGCCTGTATGTTGAACTCAGAGTGAACAAACATTTTCAGAAATAATGAATAAAAAATGGTTTCTCAGTGAACCTGCTTTTGAAGCTTGTCGGAAGGGGCAGGGCTGGTCAAAAATCAGCATTATTGTCCTGACGTGTGAACCGGGCTGTCCTGTTTTGTGTCTTCTCCAGTGACGTCTCGGTATTAGGGGCCAGTGGGGCCGGGCCCCACCAGATGGCACTGTGCAGCTCTATGCTTGCTTAAAATAATCAGTGGAACAGAATGGTTTGTTTTAGAGTAATGAAAACCCATTCTGTCACCAGAAGATTATCTTAAAAACATGTGTGTGTTTATATCTAAGTTTTTATCAGAATACTGACAAGCACAGTGGATTCAATTCTCTTGAAAAACCTGAGATGGGGCTGTTGTTGTGCCAGCCCCTCAGTGTCCATTTTAAACGAGGAAGATCTGAAATCACAGTGAGCATGCTCAACTCTTTCTCAGTGGTAAGCCGCAGGGCCCAAGCTCAGATCTTCCAATCATTAGATGAGAAAAGCACATTTAAGCTCATGTTTCTGTTCTGTGGGACAGCAGCAGCCATAGCTAACAAGAAACAACCAGGGGCGTGTCCAGGGAGTAGCCTGGGGTAGCACATGCCACCCTTGGAATCTGATGCATATATATATATATATATATATATATATATATATATATATATATATATATATATATATATATATATATATATATATATATATAAAAGAGAAGCTGAAATGTCTTTCTGAGTTAAAGCACTTATTAAAATATTTGAGATTTACTCTAAAGTATAAATCTTCTTGTCTTTATGAATTAGAGAATTTTATGTATAAAACCCACTAAATGCCATCAGTGAATATGTTGATACATCACTGGATTTACTGCTAAAAAATATCCTGTTTCATTGTCTTTCCAGTCCTCCCTCCTCCGGCAACAACACGAACCACTGAGCCATACATTATGGAGTGTGTGCCGAAACACAATTTTTTTAAATACAAGGACATCATGCAGCTGACCAGGAAGCACTTTAAAACATAAGATGTTTGTGAAATAGTGCTGGTAATTTGTTTTACACAAGAGAGCAAGGATTAAATCAACTGGATTATGGCTTTCAAATCCGTAAAATATCTCGGGAGATTCAATAATTTTACCTCCTG